TATGCAGGCAGCACGATTCTGTGGGTATTGCATGGTCAAAGGTTTGTTTTTTTCCCGTATCTTTCTGTTACGAGCAAGGTGCCATGGTCGCGACATTGATATACCGAGATCTGCGACATGTTGTCACGACACCTTAAAAGGCAACACGAGCTTTGCTCCATATGGTGTGAAGTCTCTGACGCATCGTGATTGGCAGATGTTGAACTGAGCTCGCCCACTCCATCATGCACTCCTTGAAGAACATGTCGGGAACCTGGCTGAAGCGAAGATGCGTAAGTGTGCAGGCAACGGAGGCTCGTGTTCTTGCCCGTCTTGCCGGATCAGTAAGAATCTCAATCGCATGCATGATGCAGTGCACATGGGAACCGGGACAAACATCCAGGCTTGTTTTTGCGGCCACCTGTCTTTTGTTGTTGGAACTGTGAAGACACACTAGAGAAGTCTCCATGAAGCAGAAGATGCAATCCAAAAAACGCCAAAACGTACACCCGGAGCCGTGCCCCAGACCTGCCGGCGATGTTGCAAAACCCAATCCGAAAACATGACACCTTCACCGGAAACCTTCAAACGCACCAGCGGCAAAACCATCACCGGGCAAAGCCCTTCGGCCGCACCATGCGCAAGCACCAACCCGGTTGGGTTCGGCCAGCCCGCCTCGGTCAATGACTTCCGTTCAGATGAGGATGGGGATATTGATGGCTGCGGCCTGTATGCAGCTTGTAGTTCTGATCATTCTGATCTAGATTTCGGATGAGCAAGTTAACAGGCCATACTCTAGTCGTAGTGACGTAGTGGTGGTGGCGGCGGTGGTGGTGGTGGTAGCAGTAGTAGTAGCAGTGGTCGTAGTAAGTCGGAGTAGGGGTGGTAGCAGTAGCAGTAGCAGTAGTAGTAGTAGTAGTAGTAGTAGTAGTAGTAGTAGTAGTAGTAGTAGTAGTAGTAGTAGTTTTTTTGTCACCCACATGGCACGCCAATGACAGCTCCGCGGGGACTTAAAGGTCAACAAGTCACAAGTGCATCCCCTCCAAGAAAACAGCGAAGCAGAAGGTAAGGCCACGAGGACAGGGGACAGCACTTGATCCGGCACTACACGGCTACTCACCCCAAGCACGGTAAGGAGCGCCTCAACCAAGATAACAACCCTACAGTCACAACAAACCATAACCCGCAAGTAAGGCTCCGTAGCATGTCAGGCATGGGCAGCACGAACTACTATCTATCTCCTCCACTACTCGTCTTTGTTGTTTACAGTAACAAAAGTCCATGCACAGTCGGTGACGACGATCTACGATCAATTAGGCTCGGTAAGAAAAGCAGCAGGGTTGTGTCAGTTCACACATGAATTCACATCGCTGTCGGACTTCAGATTTCAGAGAGAGTCAGAGGCATGCAGTAGTTTGAAACCCCAATAGTAACAAATTTCTAAATAAAGAAAGCACCCAAAGCCGGAACTTCCATCCATCCTCTGACTCAAACTACAAACTACAGGTATGGCCTCACAATCAAGCTATACATCTCGCTTGTACAGTGTATGCTCACAGCCATGGCATGGCAAGAGGCATACCGCTGCCCGTTGTCGATACAGCCGTATCTACTCCGTCATCTTGCATCTTGCTGATGCCGTCAAAGTCAAAAGTGGCGGCATCTGCAGACCAGGGCCGCTTTCTCACCATTGACATACGCTCAATTTTTGTGAGAGTGCGCATACATCAGCGATGTACCCGTTTATGCGTACTATGGCTTCCACTGCAACGGCAACTGCAGACCAGGGCCGTGTCCACCACAGGGGAAAACCTCCCCAACGTTGGTGTGTTTTTGATCCCAGCTTGAAAGGCAGTCGCAAATCAGGGACTAGAGCCATCTTCGCAATATGGAATCGCCCGTCAATATCACGCAGCAAGGTGGTCAGAAGTGCACTGCCAAACAGGAAATCCAGAGCAGGGCTGTCTCCACTATATGTATTCGGCACTGGCTTACCTGTGCTCCATATCCCCTGAAAAGTGGCATATGCATATCTCGACTTGCCCCCGGGGCGGTGGCACATGCGGCAACTTCAGACCAGGGCCGCTTTTCGTCTCCTTCCGCGCGACACCGTCTCTTGTGTGTTGGGAAAACCACTTGAAAGTGTCTTCGGCGTACTGTAGCTGGCGCTGTAGGAGTCAGCATGGCATGGAAATGCGGCAACTTCAGACCAGGGCCGCCAGTCGTTAGTAGTAGTAGTAGTGGTAGTAGTAGTAGTAGTAGTAGTAGTAGTCGTAGTAGTAGAAGTAGTAGTAGTAGTAGTAGTAGTAGTAGTAGTAGTAGTAGCAGTAGCAGTGGTCGTATTAAGTCGGAGTAGGGGTAGTAGGAATAGGAGCAGAAGAGGAGTAAGAGGAGTCGCAGTCTGAGTCCTGGTGGCTGGAAGTGGTGGTGGTGGTGTTGGTGGTGGTGTGGTGGTGGCAGTAGTAGCAGTCGCAGAGAGCAGCAGCAGGCCCACAAACCGCTTTCGACCTGGGCTGCTGTAGAATCGGGGAAGACTCATCAAACCATCCCACGCAAGCTACTCCGTTTCTGGGAAGATCAGGATATTATCAGAATATTGCGAGCCTCAAGTGCTGCTAGCCCAGATCATCAGGATGATGCTTACTTCAGGAATCCGGAATGTGGCTCGGAGTGCATCTGAATCCTTGCAGTTGAGAACTCCTCCACTTTTTCCTTCGAGATCTGCGGTCTAGAGCACACCCTGCAAGGCGACTTTCTTTACATGTGCGCCCTGCGTGACAGGCAGCTAGGGGGACTCAGCCCAGTCTTGTCCAGGGCACAGCTCAGGTCGTAATGTAGGGAGAATAGGCTCTGAGGGGCTCCTGATTATAATTATAGCATACCCCGGGCATATCCCTACATCAGTCATTAATTGTCATAAAGGCCATGTTGCACCACTAACTACAGGAACTCGTGGATTCTCGAAGCCGTGGGAGTCTGAAACGATCCCCACGGATGGGAGCTGGGGAATTCCGGGAGCTCTGCGTCCTGAGCACATGGGAGTTTGCGAAAACAGGGGACCCTAATATAGTACCCTAAATAGTAGGATCCTTATTACAAGGACCCCAAAATAAGATACCCATAATTTTCGGAAACCCCCACCATGAAACGGCAAAACTGTGACTTCACGGAGCTACGGCCTGGGCCTTCTCCTGCGTTGATGATTCCGAAGGAAAATAAAAAATGTCCCAAAATCCAACATAGTTCTTGCTGACGGCAACATCCGTGACAGCATTCACTCTGTATTTCTAACCTGCATATATTCTGCTCGGCAAAACTTTTTGAGTCTCGCCGGTCGGATCTGTGCGTGCTGTCGCATGTTTTGTCTTCGATGGCTTGGGCTTTGGAGACATGGCGCCAAGAATGAAGGCGCTGCGGCTTCAGGAGAGGAAGGCGTTGAGGTTCTAGGCGGCACTGCCGATTCTCTCTGCAAAGTTTGCGAACATCAGGATGTCTAGCATTGTCGTTTACGCTTTTCGCTGGCTCACCTTTCTTTCCGAAACGACTCTATGTGAAATGCTCAGGTTCGGCCAGACAGATGCTCGTTGCGAAGCTGTGGGTCATCGCATGGCGACGAGAGATTTTGTCCCCCAGCGACTCCCAGAAAAGATCCATAAAGTGGGTCCTCGCATGGCGGAAATCCCATGGATTGTGCCCCCAGCGATTTCCGGAAAGGTCCGACAGGCTTGAAGAGGTATCCCCGCCAGGACCATTTTCGCAATGCAAAAACCCTAGGCAACCGGCGGCAACGCCACAGGCCTGAAGACTCGATGATCCCGACAGACTCAGTCACTCAGTCTGCCGTCTCGTGCCCGGCGAAATGTGCGCGCGCTTTTGGGCAGCGCACCAACCAGATCAGTGTAGCTGTGGATTCCTTACTGTAAGAGTGAGGCGTGAAGCTTCGAAGAAAGATATAAAATTGCACTAGATACGAGGGCAGCGAACCATCCAGCCGTCAGCCTTGTGGCATGAGCTGTCGCCTGTTCAGAACAACGTCTGATGATATTCAACTGATCATGCAGTGGGATGTGGGCCACAGCCAAGAAGCATGTTTCTTCCCCTGTTGGCATTGCCTTTGTGTTGCTCCGATTGTCGTACAACGTTTTCACTCGAGCTATTTGGCCTTACAGTATGAGTTGGTGCCAGAGTTTCATTTGGGCATCGTTTCGGGCTGGGATTCTAGCAGCTGTGGGTAAAGGTCCGCAAAAAACAGAATGGTTTACTGTTTACTGCTTGAAACTGTCTTGACCTGGAGTAATTAGAGGTTCCGCTCGCTTCTCTACAGAGACATCTGTGATTTGGAAACGACGATCTTTTTGAGCTTCTTGGCATATTGAAACTCAACTTCAGAAATGCTGAAATGCTCATGGAAAAATCTGGAAGTGGCGCAGAGTCGTCGTCAAACTCGTTGACAAGTCCACCCGCACCACCTCCGAAGATATAATTAAATACTTCATCGGGCACGGTTGTCGCCACCCGGTCTCCAAGCAACTTCGCTTAATCTACCAGCCTAAGCTCAAGTGAACAGCTCAGCCATGTCAGTAGTGCATGGCTACGAGGTACAAACCGGGAGCATGATAAGAACATGCGTAACCCCATATCCTTTGACTCAAACAGCAGATGCACACTGGAACAAACGATAACAAACGACGGACATTGCCTGCCCGAAACAGGATCCCAGGCATGGGAAGGCTTTCAGGAACCCGCGCAGGCGATTTCATGATTGCCAGGCTCACAATGGAATACCCTGAACATGGATGAACTGGCTCTCAATGCTGGCCGCACATGTGTAGGGTTGGCGGACTTGCGAGGAGACAATGCAAACGGATTGGAGGAAGCTGCAGTGGGATCTCCGCTACGGCATGCTTCAAGAAATCCGGACTCTGGTATTGAATCGCCACCTCCGACCGTGGATGATACCATAAGCCTAAATTCCAGGTACGGGAGGCGATTCCAGCCGGCGACTCCTTGGCTCCTGAAGCTTAAACGGAGAAGTCATAGTTCTGAGAGACGCGGGCGAAAAGGTGTTCTCCATAGACGCAGGACTCACCTGCCAGGCCTGCAAAAAAAGGGCGTTTCTCTCGGCTTCTCGGCTTCCGAGCTACTGGTACAGCTGGGGGAGGGGCCCAGAAACTCCTGGCATGGCTGGCTTAGTTCCAGAAGTCGGAGGCTGCGCAACCACAGGAGAGACGACAAGACATACGCTTTCCATGCAAGATTCCAATTCAAAGTTTCAGCAAGAAGAGGACAAGAAGACGTCGCCAGCGGCGGGGTTCTGCACGAACCACGACTCTTGATTGTCTTTCACTTCCCAACGGCCCGAGTGTACACCCTCAACCGACTCAAAACAGCAAGCAGTGTCAAGATATGTCAGAAGCACTGGTCCCAGCCTTCCGCTCAACTCCGACTCCGAAACCATGACTGGCTGTTAACTGCAACTGTAAGCTCGAATAAACCCGGCAAACGCTATCTAACAATCTCCCTATCTACAGATAGGTAGATGGAGAGGCAGATGGATGGATAGATAGATAGATAGATAGTCAGATGGGCAGATAGATGGACAAACAAACGTGTGAACATGCATGCATGCATGCATGCATGCGTGCATATATTTTTGGCTCCCGCTATGCATGTATATATATATATATCATTTCTTTACATGTATATCCGTATCTATGTCTATCTATCTATCGGTATGTACATATATATATACACCTATCTATCTATCTGTCTAGAGAGAGAGAGAGAGAGAGAGAGAGAGAGAGAGAGAGAGAGAGAGAGAGAGAGAGAGAGAGAGAGAGAGAGAGAGAGAGAGAGAGAGACGCTTCCGCGCCAGGCCTCGCGCCAGGGCAGGAGACCCCGGCTCCACGTCCGGCCGCGGAACGGTCGAAAGGTCCAGGGGACGAATGACCTTTAGGATAGGTTTCAGGGTTTAGGGTTTTGGGTTTTGGTTTAGGGTTTAGGGCTTTGGTTTAGGGTTTAGGGTTTTGGTTTAGGGTTTAGGGTTTTGGTTTAGGGTTTAGAGTTAAGATCTGAGGTTTCAACTCGCACACCCTAGAACTCGGCAGGCCCGGCTTCAACGACTGTCCCACGATGCGGGGTTTGGGGTTGATAGTAATTTACAAGGTTACTTGGCTCCCACATCGTAGGGCTGGAGCTTTCGGATGCTTTCGGCTCAGGGCTTAGGCGGGGTCAGGTTCGGAGGGACGTAATGTCAACCTCCATCGAATGAACAGCGCTAGTCTCCATTGGTGTTTTTTTGCTTTTTGTTACCTGAGTGACTATCCCCATCTGCATTAACCAGGCCTGATTTGTCACTGGAAGCCCTCTCGTCTTTCTTGCGAGCTTTGCAATGCTTGCAGCTCCCACCTCTGACTGAAGATTCTGAAGGTTTTGCGTTGCAGAGCATTTTATGGGCATGAGTTCGGACACTTACTGCTGCGAATCGACTTAGCCCGGTTTCCACCAAGAGACAGCATCGAAATTGGGCTCGTGGAAATACACGACGGATGTCCTCCAGGTCACCCACGGCAAACACGCAAGTCATCCGCACATACTGTTGCAGAACTGTCCTTCACAGATGATCACAACTCTCGCCGAAGCATGTTGTTGCATGATGCTATGTACCATGTCATAAATCTTTCTAAGTGGCTGACGAGTACGACTACGACGACGACTTACTTCACCACTACTACTACTACTACTACTACTACTACTACTACTACTACTACTACTACTACTACTACTACTACTACTACTGCTACTGCTACTGCTACTGCTACTGCTACTACTACTACTACTACTACTACTACTACTACTACTACTACCACTACTACCACTACTATTACCATGACTACTTGACTACCACTTGCCAGGAGAATTGTGCAAAGGTTATACCATCTGTTTGGAACGGCCGTAGTGGGACCCATAAATACGGCGAACCGTAGCCTGCTGAGGTTATAACCTGACCAGTCACGAGGCTGCAGTATCTTTTCGGGCCTGAAGTTCGCCGACGTGTGTCGCACTCGATGCTCTGTGGCCACCCAGTGGCCCCGAGTCCAAACACTGAGCATGTCCTGGTCACTCTGGTGGAGGAGTGTACACCAGGCACACACGCACACATACGTTTATACATAGCTAACTATGGGTACATACAACTATGGATGCACAGATACCTACCTACCCGCATGCATACCTAGCCACCCTGGAAACAAGCATCGAGACTATCGGGTCTGCTTGGCATGCGTTCAGCGTCATCCTTCAAATTTAACCTTCGGCTGGCGAATGTCAGCGCTTATTCCCCAAACCTGCGTAAAGCACACTGCCACATGGCCTAGGCCTTCGTTCGTCGCTTCTAAGTCTCCGAAGGGACGGCAACCCTAAATCAAAACTCTGAATCGCAAAAGGCGCATCGACCACCTGCTTGCTCTCCTGTGCCCCGTACCACCATGGAGGTGCTATTCGTGCCACACAGGCTGCGCAATGGAGAAAGGACAAGTGTACCAGTAGAGCTTCCCTGGAAAACCGATCGGAGACCCGAAACAAGCTGGATATGCAAAGCCAGGTGTCACCCAGGTTGACAACCAGCTTTCCAGGCACTGGCGGAATTGCCTCCCACCTCGTGGATGTAACTATACTATACCTACTCAAACTGGGTGGTCAAGCCATGTGCTGCTTTCTCTCGGGAAACAGACCGGTGGCGGGAGGGCTGAAAAACAGGGTACAAAGCAACCGAGCCGCGAAAGCCCTGAGCACGGCTACCGTCATCCCCAAGAGATGTCGAGGTAGAAGCCGCATGCACCCTATCGAACCCTACCCATGAACAATAACCATCTTCTCACCAACCTTGATAGGTAAATTGATGCGAGCACTCGACGCGTGAACGCGAGACCTGCAATACCCGTGACCGTGGGCCTTATCTTCGAACATACAAAGCCGAAACACCGTAAATGAAAGCGTCCCCTTATGGTCCCTGCAGATTCATGCCAAAATTTTGCGTATCCCCCTTTGGTCCTCATAAATGTACACTATGAGCATACTATACCCCTAAACCGCAGGTCCATAACGTCCACCTGCCACAAGGTAGCTTCGCCTCAAGGGCCCCCTGCGTTTCGTCCTGGCAACTTCATCCCTTCGGGGTTAGGGTTTAGGGATTCGGGTTTGGTTTAGGGTTTAGGGTTCAGGGATTCGGGTTTGGTTTAGGGTTTAGGGATTCGGGTTTGGTTTAGGGTTTAGGGTTTAGGGATTCGGGTTTAGCATTTCGCGTGATCTTCACTGAGGCATGAAGCTGGCTCGCGGCCATGCAGCTCTGACCTTTACGATTGATATTGGTACATCCTACTCGAGTGGGGGTTTGCAGCGTGCCTGTACATCTATGTTATTGTCTTCATACTATAAGGCAGCAACAATGATAGGCTGGCCTTCGGTGCTGGCTATCGAGCTTCAGTTCAACAGCAGAAGTGCATCGGTCAACTTGTGCTTGCCACAAAGTACGAAGCGCCTTGGCTCTTAAGCCCCAAGAACCCGAAGACCAAATCGAAGTTCAGCCGGAACGGGGACACGCAAGACCTACCCCAAATCCCGAGCAGCTTGAGATGCAGCCCTGTCCTGTGCCAAAATGATCCAGCAGCCGTAGTCTGTGTGCTCTCCACAAGAGAGGCCGGGTGCATCAACCTGGTCAGTGCCAGCGAATGTCACACCGGACCATACGCTCATATGATCGGCTCTGCTATGCGATGTTACATCATGTTACCATGCGACATACTTCCCTTCTCTTAAATGCAGTGCCCTCGTGCGGAGTCGGCATCGACCAAGTGTCACGCTATGCCAGGCTCTGCGAAAACAAGACTGGGCTGCAGTGCCACTACGGACTGATGGGAAATACCAGGACGACCACTGCTACAACCATACGTGTTTACGAGTACTGACCAAACTACCACAACACATCATGTACACCATGCGAAGCCGGTTGTGCTTGGGACTCCGGATCTTCTTAGGGGTGGACTTATGTAAGCTTCGAACGCTCAACCCCGCTCTCTCCCGAACAGGAGTTTAGGGCTGTGGGGTCTAATTTAGGAGCCTCTATAATCAGAACAGGGCTTGGGCTTGGTATTGCAACACAGGTTTCAGAAACAAAAGAACTACAAGATGGAGTGGTCTACAAGGTCGGGAGAGGTACAACCATCACTGAAAACAGTGACGAGAAGAAAGCAGCTGTGGACATCATGTTCTTGAAACGCTATGATTCACATGTCGGCCGGTGGGCATGCAGGTCTGATGCACCCAAGCTGCCGGCAGAGCAGGGTAGCCAATGATACGAGCTCCCCAGAAGCTTTCATTCATCATTGGATCGAAGTGGTTCTCAGGCAACCTGGTAGCTTCTGCTCTGACCCTGTGACCCTTTCAGAGGGTGTGCATGTACACATACATGTGCGGGTCGTCTGTACGTTCAATGTCATAGTGACGGAAGGGAAGGGCGGCGAAAATTGATGACCCCTGCGACGACATGTGCAGCAGTGGAAAATGCCACACAGCAATTGCAAGTCCGCTTCGGCATGGCAAACAGTCAGAAACGGCAATCCCAACCCTCTGGCACTCTAGGTACTGCACCACCAACCCATTTTGAACAACATCTGAAACTCCAGCATTCGAGCAGCCCGTGCCCCGACCAGCAACCCCGGAATTCCAGCTGACTTGATTGTTCTATTCTTCTGCTGGCTTGTTTGAAGTGGTTGCTCGGTTCCCTCGTAATGAAACATCCTGCGCCGAATCTTGTTTCGAATTACATCCTATATAAGCGAAAATGCCATGCTCAGCGACGAATCCGGCAACTTCTGATTCAAACCATGGAATCACAAAGGCCTTCAATGGCACGGACGGCCGAGCATCGCAGCAGCAAACACAACCACAGCAGATTCCCACTGCTGCAGCGACCGCTCCGCTACTGCCACGACGATTCCGACACTCTGTGCTGCAGCGAATCCACAGCAAAAGAAGACATCTAGGACGACTCAAACACCGGCCTAGAATTCATCCTGAGTCTTCACTAACTGGCTAGCTTTTGCCAAAGACGCCCGAAAGCAGTGGCCATAGCTCTGGTCAAGGCCGATCCTGAGAGACACACATGCTACCCTAGTTCACCACCACCACCTCCACCATCACTGCAGGAACAGCACGAGTCTCAAACTGCAACTGCCTAGCAGTGAGTGTGAGCAGGCAACACGGTCATGACGATGAGATGGTGATGATGATGATGATGATGATGATGGCGGCGACGATGATGATACATGATCATGATGGTGATGGTGTTGCTGAGCCTGTTGATGATTGCGATGATGTACAATGACGGATGGAACGGAACTGATGAGAATGTTGCGATGATGATGATGATGATGATGCCGTGAGGTCAGGGAGATAGTCAAGCTATCGCCTTGACTGTCAGTACGAAGACGTCTGCTGATGTGCAGATTGCGCTGAAAATCAACTGCTTGACTACTTTCATCGGCATATGCTATGAAGAGGATCCCACTGTTGCCATCTTTGCAAAGTAGGCCTCTGCCACGCCTGGCCAGAGCTTGTGCGGGCTTTCGCTTCGGCGGGCAGATGTGCTCTGTTGACAATAGGGCCTCCGGTAGCGCTCCTATCTACCGCTAATTCAACAACACTGACAAGCCTCATGGCAAGTGTTGCTCATGTCTTCGGTTTCTTTCCGTCCTTGGCATCCTTCCTGGAGGCTCGCGGGTCTTGTGCTGGCACCGAATATCGAAGCAAGCTTGTGGGATTGGTGTCGAATTCGTGATCTTGTATTCAACAGCAGTGTGGCATCAGAGACTATAAGTTTAGCAACCCAAACTCGCGTCAATGCAGGGAGCTCATGAGCACACCTTGCGCTAGCAATCATCACGTTTCCTAGCTGCTGCTCCTATATGGATGGTTGTCAAAATTATGGTCCCTTTTTGGGTCCTTATTATAATACGGCACCGAATATTTAGGGTACCCTATAGCAGTCATCACGTCGTACGATCATCATAAATTGTGGGATGCTGACCGCATTCCTAGCAATCGCGAAAGCAAACTTTGGGCCGAAGGTTGAGGGCCACATGGTAGTGGCGAGGCTTCGCCCTCGATCCCGAAGCCACTCCACGAAATGTCATCGATACTTCTAGATACGGTGTCCTTGCATGGAGTCAAAGTGTAAAAGGTCGGTACATGTGGTCAGCGTATATGGAAGGCCAGTGCGCAACACGTCAAAGTACACCTCCTGACCTCGCCGCTCTGATGGCCGAGCGGCGCTTGAAGTCGGCTGGCTCTTCTGGCCACCGGTTCCGTCCTTCAACGAACCTCAAAAGCTGTGAGGATTCAGGCTACAAGGGGCTCTTCTCACGATGTGCTCCGGCGAAGGATATGACGAGAGCAAACCTTGCCTCTGAATTTTGTCTAATGATAGTGGCGACAAGAGAAGAAGCAGTAGCAGTAGCAGTAGCAGCAGCAGTAGTAGCATTAGTAGGAGTAGGAGCAAGAGTAGGAGAAGCAGCGGCAACAGCAGCAGAAGCGTTAGCCGTAGCAACAGCAGTGGCCGTAGTGGTGCACTCGTGGTAGCGGTATAGGGGTAGTGGTAGTGGCAGTAATGGTAGCAGCAGCACGAGTAGTAGTAGTAGTAGTAGTAGTAGTAGTAGTAGTAGTAGTAGTAGTAGTAGTAGTAGTAGTAGTAGTAGTAGTAGTAGTAGTAATAGTAGTAGTAGTAGTAGCAGCAGCAGTAGTAGTAGCAGCAGCAGCAGTAGTAGTAGTAGTGGAAGTAGTAGTAGAAGAAGTAGTAGTAGTAGTAGTAGTAGTAGTAGTAGTAGCAGTGGTAGGAGTAGTAGTAGGAGTAGCAGCAGCAGCAGTAGTAGTAGTCGTGGTGGTGGTGGTGGTGGTGGTAGTACTAGTAGTAGGAGTAGCAGTAGTAGCAGCAGCAGCCGTAGCTGTAGTATAGTGCTCGGTTTGGGCGTGGGAGGGGGAGTAGGAGCAGCAAACTGGAGCAGCAGTAGGTGTAGTAGTAGTCGGAGTAGTTAGTAGTCCTCCTCGTCGCAGTAGAAGTTGTCGTCGTCGTTGCAATGGCACTGGCAGTGGAACAGTGACTGGTACTTGTGCCAGCACTACGGCCGGTGCTACCACGAGAACTACAACTAGTACTACTCGCACTGACTACTGGAAATACCAGTACTATAACAAAAGAGAGTAAACGACTATGAATTAGCTGGTCTCGGTAGTGGTGGCAGGCCCGCCGTGGCAACAACAATACCAGGAGAAGTTGCAGTAACAGCAACGCTAGTACGTGGTGTAAGCAGCAACCTTTGCAAAAGTGCGGCAGGAAATACGTGGCTCCTTTGAGCAAGGCGCTGTTGTACTCTTTCCCGCTCTTTTGCGTCAATACCTGAGATCAGGCAAGCCACCTGAAAAGTAAGCAACTCAGTAACGGAATCTATCTTGAGTATTCTTGAGTTTCCTTCGCGACAGGCCATTCAAGCAGGACTTTAGCCTTACCGATGACTCAATCATCCAGGCATGAAAGTCCGATCACTGGTCAACTTTCTTAATAAGTTCCCAAAGCCCACCAGGCCTGCCAACCTAGGTGAAAGCCGTGGGTGGCACGGGAGTCCCGCTTGCCCACCTAAAATCTGAAAATCCCAGCACACCGCCCCCACTCAGCACCGCCAAGCACGCCTTGCAGCGACGACATTGAGCTCAAATTGACCTCAGCATTGTGGTGGTCCCCAGACATACTCCTAGCACAGACCTGAACTGTTCAGGCAAGGCGCGCTGCCGGTACGGGCCTCCGCAAAGAAGTCAATGGCTTCCTGCCAATCCTGCAGTATGGTTTAGACTTCCCCTCAGCCCTACAAGGTCTTAATGCCGGAAAGCCTGAGCAGCACCCCCAGGATGGCACAAGCGATCGGCGGGCGGAGGACAAGTTCAACAAAGAAATGAGAAACACAATGTTCTGGATCGTCACTCTCCTGTCCCAAGGAGAAACAACATGGTTCAGCCCTTCACGGTCTCCTTCTCGTTCTTGGTCACATTCATGCCCAGCTTCTGATATCCTTGCAGCAACATGACAAGCCAGATGTGGCGCTGGTCTACTCCCAGACCTAAAGTGCCCCAGCTCAGTTCCACGGCGGGAAGCTTGAAAACTGAACCCCACAACACCGAAGCCTTTGGGGCTCAGCAGCTGCAGCCTGGTCTCCTCTTGCAAAGTCTTCGTCTGAACAAAGAGCAATAGCTTCCTCCGCGACGAAGTGACGGCTGCAGATGCTGAGTTTTGGTCTGAGTATCTTGCCGTGTCAGATTTCGGTGTGGTAGGACGCGGCTCCCCCAATGGTGTGGTGCACATTTTGCGCTCGCATCTGTTCTTCTGACGCAACATCCGTGCGGCTGGATTTCCCGAGAGCCGAATGCATTGTAAATTCCAATGCACGGGCCAACACTGGGCCTTGCAAACCTTGAAGCGGGGGAAAGCATTCTGGCCGATATCCGGAATGCCGTCAGTTTATAGAGAGAAGCATGAGCACCATGCAAATGAAACGTGCCAGTGATGTGGTCGCCGTCCTGCATCATCGAATTCTTGAGGGGAAGTTTTTGCGCCATGCTCCGAAACCCACCGAAAATTACTTGGCGGAAGCCGTGTTCGTCAAACCAGTGGCCTGGTGGTCCTTTGGGGGTAACCTGGTGGATGTGGTGGTCCTTGTCGACCTGGTCGTGGTGGTGGAGGTGGTGGAGGTCGTGGTGGTCTTGGTCGTCTTGGTCGTCTTGGCCGTGGTCGATGTGGACGTCATGGTCGCTCTGTCACGGTTTGGGGATCTGAGCTGGCTAATTAATTGTGTTTCTCTCTCTCTCTCTCTCTCTCTCCCTCCCTCCTTTCTTTCGTGCCCCGGGTGTGCGTGGGTGTGCGTGGGCTTGCGTGGGCGTGCGTGTTTGTGCGTGGGCGTGAGTGCGTGCGTGCGTGTGTGTGTGGTGTGTCTTTGCGTATACTCCTCGCTATGTGACATCTGCATATGTATATATATATATATGTATATATATATATACAGAATATAGATAATATAGATATAGGTATAGATATGGATATGGCTGTAGACAAATATCTATCTACCGAACTACCTTCTTTATCTGTACCCCTATCTTCCCGATCTCTTTACACACACATATATATATATATATATATATGTGTGTATTTACATAGGCGCTTACTTATCTGCGTAGCTTTGTGTATGTACGCATGCAGGCAAGTGTGTGTAGGTATATAAACAAACATGTATGTGTGTGCGAATGTAAAGATACATACACACGACACATACATCCGAAAATTCATACATGCGTACGTCGTACAACACGTATATGCCGACATAGGTGTGCGTGTGTATGCGCGCGTACACGCACGCACACACACACACACACACACACACACGTACACACACACACACACACACACGCAGATATGTATATATATATATAGACATACACACATACAGGCATACAGGCATAACTGGGCAGACCCAGCCCCCGTCGAGAAACCCACTTCAGGCTGCATGTGCGACGTTGACTCTTGTCGGGTCAAAGCACTCCAAGCGCAGTCCCTGACCACGAACCTTCCGAATCGCCCCATCCCATCCTTGGCCGCGCTCGGTAGGGCGAAGAACTCCCTGGCTAGCCTGTGCAGGTTTTGGACCTCGCAGCCACAAAACCGAATTGGCTTCGGCGGTACCACTACGAGAATTGGGATCTCGGGTAGCGTGCCGTAGTAGCACGATGACACACCCTACGCGGCCCGTTTAGAATCTTCTCCCTGTGTTGTGTGAACTCCGGCATGTATAAACATTGCATGCATGTCTGGGGGATCGCTACACAGCTTCGCGTGTGGCGCGTTTGCCTCGTGCTCTGAAACGCCATGGCCGTCCAGGTAGAAGAACCCTGTGCTTCTACATGCTCGGTCCTGAGCTCTGAGGGCCGGAAGCTGGTCAACACCCAACAAAATCGGGTATCTATGTGTTACAGAGATAAAATTATAGTAGGAATCAGGATTGTATGGCGCAAGGTCCTCAAGCCTTATCTTGCCGAAGAATTTCAGCCTGGTGTGCCCAAGATTGCACATGGCTTTGCCTGAGAGGCCTGAGTTAGAGAGCATGAGGAGCCTAATTACGGCAGAAGGTGGAACTGGAAACTCTTTTCAATCCGGATCTATCCCTCTATATCTACATGTATGTATATATATATATATATATATATATATATATTTACATTTATACACCCTAAAGTCTGCCGCCTGAATCAGGGCCAGCGTCTGCAATCTTGCAAGGTACTTTGCGTTTACGCTCTCAACTCGGCGGCCTGGGGTCTACCCATAAGCCCCCATAGTAGTTCCTTTTGGGGGTTCATATTTAAAATCCTATAAGTATATTCCTTTTTAAGCACGGACTTGGAGTATATTCCTAAAAATAGTTCTTTTTTGGGGTTCATATTTAAAATCCTATGAGTATAGTCCTAAAAAGGAACTACTTTGGGACCCTGTGTGTATAGGGGTTTAATGGTCAGGCTTCGACCCCGGCTGCCCGAGCGACTTGGCGCGAACCACGAACCAACCTACGGTTTAGGGTTTAGGAAAAAAACTTTCAACCACTCTGCAAAAGCTGCAACGCTGTGAAATAAACGGAACAACACCCCGGAGTTACCAATCCCCGAGCTGTCTGATGATCCAGCTGCGAGACAGAAAAGCCCCCGAGATGGCACGGCCAGGCGTCGAGTTCTCGCGCACAGCGCTGCTTTTCGGCCCCACTGCCCCCTTGCACACCACAACAGGGCAGCACATGGTGTCCGAACTGTCAAAGGGCTGGGGGAGTCCGGGTTCAAGGTGTTGCTCCTGTGCTTCTTCGACTTTGGGGTCTTGGTGCCGTTTCCATGGCGGTTACCCATAGGCCCCATAGTAGTTCCTTTTTGGGGTTCATATTTAGAATCCTATATAAGGTATTCCTAAACAGGAACTACTTTGGGGCCTGTGGGTAGCGCTGTAGCGGAACGACCAGAACGTCCGATGAGCCAAGCCACCTAGCTTCCGGTAACCCGGGACACACAACACCACTTCGGACTCACAATACATAAGCCTGAATAAACGCCAACAGTTACTGCTCTTCGGTTTTCCTTCAACTCCAGCTATACCATAACATACCCCCGAAACCCGACTCGAGCCTGAGAGGAACGGGGAGATGTCCAGCGATGGCATCGCCGTGTGCACAGCCCTTCGCACTGGGGACCTGCTACACTTTGCTTATATATATATATATATATATGTATAGAACTGTATGTATGTGTATGTGTATATATATATATATATGTGTGTGTGTGTATGTATGTATATATGTACATCTATCTATCTATCTATCTATCTATCTATATGTGTATATATATATATATATCAGTATATTATGTTGTTATAGTATATACATTTCAGTATACATAAGCATATCATAGATACACACATATATAATTAGATACGTTTTTCCATATGGCCAAATAAGCAGAGGCTTGGCGTCTCTGCTTTAAGGCTGAAGGTTGAGGGCTCCAGGGTTTAGGGTGAAACGGTATCCGATATCCTGGAGGAACTAGTGGCCATCCAAAGGGGCTATGGTACTCCAAAAACGGTTAAAGGCTACCTACTATATACTGCTAGGATAACCAGGGCTTGACGTTTCTGGCAATAGTTAAGGGCTATTGCGGTATGACATGAAAACTCGCTGTTCTTATCCTCACTATCCAAATGTTAAACATGAGCGGCAAGCCCTAAACCCTAACTCCCGATGTAAACTCGACACCCTCACTGCACAGTTCGTGAGGAGGGCGCTTCCGAGGAATCTCGGATCCCATGTCGCGGACTCTCAACACGTACCCATAGGCAGCAGAGTAGTTCCGTTTTTAGGAATACCTTATAGGGTTCTAAATATGAACCCCAAAAAGGGCCCATGGGTAATGTAGACGCCTGAATAACGCAGCTCCAAACACGCACCTTGACAAGCCGTCAACAGCGGCCTGCCTGCATTATCCCAACCGACCATCCCGAGTGTCTCTTGCCTCCGTACCAGAAGTCGGTACAACACATGCGGCTGAAATTCTATGCTCGCCGCACTTCGAGCACGAGGCCAACCGTTGCACAACTTCTTCGATCCACTGGCAATTGCTGGCGAGGCTTGATCCGGTCTTTCCGGGTGTATACAGTTAAAGCACTCCAGAGCCCCTGCCTCAGTCTTGAAGCGGTACAAAAGCGCCGCAGAGGTGCAAGATATGAGGATGAAGCCATCTTGATCGTGCGCCGGACAGGCTGCAGACTGGACTCCTAAAGAGATGATGCTCCAAAAGCACGGCTGTTCTACTTGCCAGATGGGCCTGTGTGTTCTTGAGTTCGTGTCGCTAGCTGAGTCTGCACTCGTGTAGTCTGACCGAGCATGCCAGGGCCTTGAATGCAAATGCTTCGCCGGCATTGGTGATATCATAACCTTCCGACCTCCTCCCTTTCGGGAGACCCCGCTTATTCCTTGAATCTCAAAGCCTTGTTAATCTAGCCTTCACCCATCAGAGTCTCCTAGCATCTGGTTTCTCGCGGTATATCGCGGACTGCAAGCACCTGGTTGTAACACAACATTCCTCGTGTGTATAACACACCAACATCTCAGCCTCGGGCAGAAACTGGATCACATTACCCTGCAGGATAAATGGCAAATCAAGTCTGCGCTCCCTGTCCGCATGCTCTGCACAAGTTCTGAAAAGCCTGGGCTTCCGAACCCCTCTCGCTGTAGGCAAGCTGAGCGCGCACACCACCTTGTGTTCTGTGCTGCTGTTCGGGGGCTCATTTATCGAATGTGGCAACTGGGATTTCCGACTTTTGCAAGGTCGATGTCTCGAACTTGCATGCAATGTGGGATACAGTGAGGGTTCTAGGACCCCGGGATTTCGCGGAAACCCAACATCAGGAGGCGGTGTACAACCACAGGCTGTTTCTGGAAGGTAGACTTGTCAATAGCTCGAAACAGATCGAAACAGGTAGGCGTACTGCAGTTGCTCTTCGCAAAAGCTGCAAAGGTTGTGTAAACTTCCTATCCACTTGAATTCGCTGCTTCCTAGCTTTGGGACCTCTGAACCCAAGATGCGAACCCCGAGCCCTAAACTGAAACAAGGATTCAAGCTCCCTTCCAAAGCCTTTGGTTGGCTCCTTGCGACAGCTTCAGGGGTAATGGGTAGTCAAGATACGGACTTGAGTAACCAGAGTCGGGTTTCTGTCTCGTATCTCAGGAAGTACCTCAGGCCCATCAACTAGCTACAAGCAGTGTCAGGAGTCAGAAGTACCTGAAGCTGAGTGTCGCGACGTGGGTTAGGGACCCAGAAAGGGATGCTGCCCATTTTGCCTCGAAGCCCCCTCGCAGGCAACCAAGAACAGCTTTGAAGGATGAAGCTCTGAACATATACCCTACATTCCTGCTGTAGACCGAACCCTGAACCAACACCCTACAAGCCAACTCTCTCAACCCCACACCCTGAACGAGTCTGCACTCTGGGGTCCCCAGCTGAGCAGTCAGCTTTTCCAGGCCCATCCTGAGCCAAGAGCAGCAAAGGCTTCGAAGCTTCAGGACAGGATTCAGGATGAGGATCGCACACTCATAGGCTGTGGTCCTCAATTTTGGTTTCCTGATTGAACCCGTTCCCAACTGCCACCTACAGGGTACACAACACACCATCAATGCTGGCTTGATGATCGTCGAGGAACTATTTGGACGCAGCAGGGTTGATTATCGCGGCGGATTATGCTGAATCAGTCACAGCATGGCCTAGCAAGCGAGCTGCCTTATTGCAGCAGGGTCATGGAAGCGAAGTCAAAGAGCACCCAAATAGCTTCACTTTTGCGCGCCTGCGGTGTCAGTGTGCTCCTTGTGTCTGCGGGAAAAAGGTCTTACTCGAATTCGTGGGGTCCATTTCGCCGCTCTGTGTTGTAATTAGACGCCGTCATTAATGTTCCCTGAGGTCCCCACTGCGTAGGATCGCCGACGCTGGTTTTGTGGATGCAGAAGTCGATCACCTCGGTCACATGCTGCCTGCGCTGCAACTTTACCATCAAGTATATACCACGACATGTGCAAGGGGAAAGCGCCGAATCCTAAGTCCGGCGTGGCGGTCGTCGAACACAGGTTCAGCATGGTTCAGCGACGGACATGTTCGACAGCTGCGAATGAACCATCACACTACAAGGTGTCGAAACAGTGTGTAAGATTCACGGTAGGTGGCAGCTTGGATTTACGGCTGCAGCTATATTCAAAGCTGCCGACTGAGCGCGCCTTTGCCGAAGCTGGCCTAAAATCCCATGTCCCGAGCACGAGCCGCGACCCTGCAATCTAACGCCTGGACCTCAAAACTCTAAACCAAAAATGTAAGAGTATCCCAATTAAATAACCCTCAAGTCCTGACAACCCTGAAATCCGAATATAGGGGCCTTAATAATTGGAATAGGGTTCGGAGGCCCATGATACTGTAATTACACTAAGGAACCCCCGAAATAGTGTAGGCCCCTCCCTATCTTATCCCATAAACCCTGAAATCATCAGACCTCCGTCTGTGATCCATGATGCTGAGGTTAGGGCACCGATGACCTGGGGCAGCGTCAAGGAAGACCTTGAAGGCAGTGATGGTGGCTAATATATAGGCCTTAGTAATTACCATACAATTTTCGGGGCTTCCTGATTATAATTAGAGTTACCGGGCACCAAAACCCTGTTCTAATTATTAAGGCTCCTAGATTAGGGTTTGAGACTTTGTAGGGCTAGGGTCTGAGTCTAAGGCCCACTTTTGGGGTTTTTGGGCTCTGGGAGTGTTTAGAGTCAGAGCTTCAGGGCTTTAGGGCTAGTTGGGTTTCAGGGTCAAGGACTTTAGCGTTTTAGGGTTTGGAGCTTCAGGGTTATAGGGTTGCTAGGGTTATGAATAGCTCTTCCCACCCACTTAGCTGACCAGGTCACTGAGCTATTTTGGCTCCTAGTTCGGAAGGACGAGCCCGGATGGCAAAGTTTAGGATTGCTTGCAACGAGAGGTCATGAGCGTGGGTACCAGTCCAGGCATCTGTTGTTATTTGCTCTTTGCTATCAGCAAGGGCCTGCATCTTGTACTGTCCATGTCGGAACTTCATGGTCACCATAGACTGCCGTCTGTCGCTACAGTTAGATGTGGTTCTTTGCACGTCACGGCTCTAATCCATTTCTATGATTTGGATTCGGAACTGGTGTGGATGACCGCATCATCTGAGGGGTGTCAACCATTGCTGTTTGCGAATAGTGCTGCTCCTGGTAGTACGTCGCGACGTAGTGGGCTACAGTTACATTGCTGGCATCATTTATTTCGGCAGTTGTCTCGAGCTCCCCATGCATGCCCTCTACGGTCCGTTCGCCGGGCTTTCAAGACCCGTCCAGTGGCAATCAGTGGGCTTCTAAAGGGCATCCGGATCCTTCCATCACCCTCTGCCTCTCCAGAAAGCTTTTGACCCAAGACACCAAAGACGCATGTCGAGAAGACTGGGCTGGCAATGCGCCAACTCTGCTCTGCAGCCTAGGCCTCCATGCAGGATGCCTTGCCAACACTGCCTCTCAATCTCAGGAGCGGCCATATAAGGTCATGATTGACTTCGCCACAAGCTGAGGTGTAGATGCTCTACTCTAGGAAAGCTGCCACCTGTGTGCCATGGAGACTCTTCAGCTCCGTTCCTGCATCCCGCGTGTACAATGGAGCAGTCTCGTCTGCTGAAAAAACATCGTCAGACGTAGAAGTCCGAAACGAAATGGCTTCTGCAACTAGAAATGTCTGATACCACCGGGACACCGCTTAAGAGGGGCCCTAGTCTGGAGTAAATGATACAGTATGCCTCTACAAATTCCCCATATTTGGGAAGCGAAGCTCTCTTATAGAGGGTGGGTCTCCCTGCGCTTTTCGGGTCTAGGGCTTCGCGGTGACTGCACTGGATCCTCAAACGTCCTTAAGCTCCTTAAACCCGAGAATAGGGGACCCTGATATAGTACCCTAAATAGTAGAATCCTTGTTATAAACCCGATCCCATTGACCCCTAGAGGCACTGAATTGTCCAAGCCGCTCTGCGATCGTGGTCGCCAGGACAACATTGCCTGGGCCGTCGACGAATGATTGGATCTCTCAGATACACGGGTAAACAGTCTGAAAGCGGGGTGGCTCTCAACTGGAACCGGGCTGGCTAGGACCGGCTAAGAACAGATAGAGCAAGTTTGGGGCTTGCTCAACGGATCGAAAGAGATAAAGAACAAGAACCGAAGGTCTACAACAATTGTTCGGTTCGGATACTGAGAACGAACAACAACCAATGAAATGCATGCATTTGTTTTAAGCTTGTTCCGAGTCTGAGTTGCTAGTCGTGAGTAAGGGCCTTGACCTAACACACCCTCCCTGCCGCCGCACAGATCCGAACTTACAAAGCCAAGTCAATTTCATAGGTGCTCCTCTATGGAATCAATCCCTCTCAGCCAACTACTCACAAAATGATACAACAAGATCTGCAGAATTGCACTAAAACTTGATGGTATAAGGCCAGTGAGGTGGAGCTTGCAATGCACCTCATGGGAGATCTGCCTAGTCACGTCAGGCACCCTTCGAAGGTACAGTAGCAAAGAGATTCGAACAGCGAGCAAGCCTTTTCTTTAAGCACTGCACTGCCCCGCGCCGAACATCGTCCAGCTCGACGGACACAGGGAGAGCAATGATCCATGCCAGGTTGGGGCTTTCGGGTCCTTGTCCACATCTCTGGCTGCTCTGAGCCTCACCTGAAACTTTCAACCTCAAGGACAGAAGGCCGAAAGGTTTTACGGCACAACGTCGACAAATGAGGAGAGCAACTCAATGCTAACAAAACTGTGGCATTTGGTGTGTTTTGCAGCAGTCCACCATCTTCCAAGCAGCCCCTGAATTGACCTAGACCCTAATAAGACTTTACATCGAGACAGAAAGAACGCCTTGTGTCGACCAACATCATTAAGAAGCACAAGAAGCTCAATTCAAAGTCTGTCTTGAACCAGAATCGATTCTCGCTGAAGTGATCTGAAACGAAACGCCTCGGGGAATAGATGCAGCCCTTAAGTTTGGAAGTCGGAGACCACATGGATTTCAAGGCCAAGACAACACGGCATGGACGGGACAAGCGGACTTGTGCGGTTGGAAATGCCGCAGTCGGACGTCCCACCGACAACTGGTCAGCCAGAAGCAAACCACTGAATTAAGCAGTAATCTTCAGTACTGCAGTTAACGGGGAGGCTCCCGAACAAGAATACACTGCACTGGTTATTCCATACCGGCAAAAGGGCGCCTCACTCCAGAAACTTCTCGGGAAGTTTGGGAAACCCCCTCCGACATCGTGTGCAAAGGCTTGGGTACCAAAATCCGAGGCCTTGGATTTGGACCTACACAGTTTGCGGATGAGGGCTCTTAGGGCTTTTTACGGTATTACCTAAGGGTTCCGTAGGTGTTCTCTTCAAGCCATGGGGACTTCGCTTCCATGTTCACCAAGGCCCAGCTTGTCTGCCTCCCGTCCTTCAAGGCAGCGATGAAGCCGCAAACATGGAGAAGTCATAACTTTCATAACGGTTGAGGTTGTTTTATCGAGACGGGCTACCACAACTAGAGGCACGAGCTGCGCTAGCTGTACTGCTGTTGCTTTGCGAGCGTCAACCAGTACTTAACCCTTGAAAGCTCTTCGTGGTGGGATCGAAGACCTCTCGGTACACCAAGGGGAGCAACCCACGACAAGCGGGTTGCCCTGCCGTGACCCTCCAAGGGTCCGAGGACATTAGACCAGAGACCTGGTCCCGAATCTTTGACATGCGTTTTTTCTTGAAGCCTCTTACCTACGGGGTTATACGATTTAGGAGTCAAAATCAGGTGTCTTCTTGCTGCTTAGGAATAGGAAGTACTGGGTGCGGTTTAAGCCAAATTGGGCTCCCGTTTGGTGTCGTGGTGCCCTACCCATAGAGTCGCAAACCCTCGGAGAGCAGGCGGTTATGTAAGGTAGCACGGCAACAGCCGCCAAGACGGTTGCCAGCTTTGACTCTACAGGGCGCTCTGAGGACCGAAAGGATGCTGCTCAGTAGGTCACAAGCAGTCATGAGTTTGGTTTCAGGTGCCATAACCCTGGAAGAACCCAAAAAGGCCTTGAGAAGTACCTGGTGTACCGAAGAAGGGGGGCCCTTGAAAGTACCTGGTCCTGCAGGGGGATCCTTGAAGCCAAACTCCTTGCCGGATTACTTTGCGTGTGGTAGAACTCTTTAGGGCCCAAAAAATCGGGCGTACGTGTAGTGCTAGCGTTCCTGCATCCCTTCAGTCTTCAGTTGCCCAAATGCCGTCGGATTCCAGCATTGGACGACTATCTACTTGAGGCTTGAGGCAAACCGCCCGTCTCACGCGTGCGCTTCGCCTTCTTGCTGGCTTCGCAGAAACTTCACCGGTTGAGTTGGACTATACGAGCTATTATATCCGAGGATACAATTTCGAACGCTGGGTCGGGGAATTCCGACACACAGTGCAACCGCCAAAACCCATCCCATAAAGAGCCTCCCGTGCTCCCAGCCACAGCGGCCACGGCTGCGAGACGCTCCAGCTCCCGGCGAGCAGCGCCGCGGAGGAGCTAGCGTCAGGTCTAACTTCAATTAGTTGAAGGCTTATGCCGGGTTCACGGTCTGAGGTTCGGAGTTTCTGGAGGTGCTTCGAGGTGTCAGAAGCCAAGCCGCAAAGCTTTGCACGAAAGCCCTAGCCTTGAGACGCTCGCCGTGGCTCGCACTCTGCAGAAGCACCTGCGGAGCTCTGAAACCTATCTATGTGTATGTGTAAGTGTACAAACAAAACAACAAATACATAATATATATATATATATATACACACACACACAATCCTTCCAACCTTCTATCCAATCCGGCATCCATCTGTTCCATGGCCCATTCATCCGTGAATCCATCTAGCCCATCGTCCAACCAGCCATCCGTTCGTCGCCCAGTTCGTCCCCCCGTCCCTCCGTCCGTGCATCCGTCCGTGCATCCATCCATCCATCCATCCATCCATCCATCTCACCCATCCCATCACCCGTCGACTGATGTCAAAACAATACACTGTTATGCACGCATTCGCTGCGATCTGTAAACACCTCACACAATAGAATGTCTGAACACACTGGTGGTAGTGGTGGCGGTGCTGGCGGCGGCGGTGGTGGTGGGGTAGCGCTGGTGATGATGATAATATCTGACGATGGAAACTAGATGGTGATAACGCCGCAGCTTGTGATCCTGATGGCGGCTCTTTTATGACGATCTAAAGCATGCTTCTTTTGGTCTGGTCAACGATGCCGAGGCCCGAATAACCAGGCCAGCGTTTCAAAGGGGTTTGGTGCGCTACAGGTGGATCAAGGAACCCTGAGTAAGACTTACCCAATAGTATTAGGGACATGCAGGCCTCCGCACTAGCTGCATATTCTTGAGAGGAAAGCTTTCCTTGCCGAGCAAGCGCCTGCATCAAAGCAGCTCCTTGATGCTGATGCTCCAAGCTCTCTGCCTGCTACAGGTAGCCATGACCGTCATGTCTTACAGCGAACCCTAAATTCACAATTTGAGTCACCCCTGTTTGAGGGCACCTCGAAAAGCCGTCCATGATAGTGCTCTGCTGGGTCGTAGCTGTCAAGACAAAGACTTCTCGGAGCCCCGCGGGCCCCCACAGTCCCAACGTCATTGATCTGTGTGCGTGTCGTGTGTTTTGGGCTGTCCTCTTATCGGAGATCCTCTGTTATGAATCCGCGTAATCCTACTATCAGGACTCATCTCTAGAGGGGCCGTGAACCACCAGCCTACACTAAACAAACCGTGATGAACTTTCTTGCCCTGAACCCCCCCCCCCACCGCAAGAATCACAAACGGTATACTCACCCACAAGAAACAATGAATGCTTAAGGCATAAGGCTATTTGCATTCAACTGTGCGACAACAACGGCTTTGCAGCTATAGCCTAAGTAGTTGGAGGTATACAAGCTATATAACACCATTAAGACAAACGATGCCGCTGCCGATGCCACCTCGTAGCTCCGCCGCAGCTCCGCAAGCGTTCGCGGCCCGCAGTCTGCACGCCGCGCTGCCTTTTTGGTCATTTCGTCTTGGGGTTATGGCCGCAGCGTTCGACGGGGTGCTCTATACATTAGGCCACGGTGCTTATTTGGTCTTCTTTCTAGGTGACGATGTAAGTGCTTGGGTCCATTGCTGGTGCTCCACCTGGGTTTATGGTTGAAGTCTTCGGGGCCGCTGACCTGGTGCTGCACGATTCTGGGATTGCCGACACGTCGGCACTGTCACGGTTCAGGCCTCTCGAAACCAGGTATTTACAAAAAAAACGCTGGAGGCTGCGAGCTCATTCGCAGTCGTCCCCCTTGCAGTCAGGGATTCCTCAAGCCCAGGCCGTCAGCCCCAAGGCACAAACTTTCTCCCAACATGAGGCGTGCTGCCAGCATGTCTCGATCATGCTGCTGGCGGAGCGCCACCCCTCGTCGGTCCCAGTAGCCTGGAAGGAAGATTGGCCGAAGCTCCACTCTGTGGTTTTGGGAACGTGGCGTAAAGCCGACTCCGCTGACTATGACTCAGAAATGTTGGGCTCGGATGAAGTATGATAGGTTTTGTGTCGGGATCAAGCAGCATGTAGATTGCTTCGAGTCAGGATCAATGCATCGCATGCTGCCGGCGAAGGACATCAAGACCAACTCAAGGTGCATAGTCAATACAATTGCCCGGGGTTTTGGCGATGATCACTGCTGAAATCCGTGTTTCGTCGTGAAGTGGGTGTCGAATTGACAGCCCTGCCATCCAAGCTCCAGCGAAGCTGCTGCGCATGAAATCAGATCTCTTCAAAGTAGTGTGCCTACACGATAAAACCTGGTGGTGGAAGCAATGTTCTGCCACCGCTGGCATGGGAAAGCCTGTCGCAGCATGGCAAACATGTACATCCCACGACGGACTCCTAAGTTTGGTGTGAAAACCCTACAGTCGCCGCCTAGAACTCGCGTCTACATGGAACAGCAGCACGCGGCCTTGCCAGAGCTGCACCAGCTCCCAGAAGTCCTTCCGCTCGCAGCAAAAACCAAGTAAAACAAACAATGACTTTTGTGAGAACCAGACTGATGGCACTGGAGTTGACGACGACAAAGTATTGCACAATGCAAAAGCTTGTGCTTCAGGCTACGCTGGCCATCAAATGTCATGAGCATGTTCATGATACTGAGAATGGTGCGTAATATCACACGAGACTTTGAATGAGGACTGCCGACATGATGAATCTTCTTGGTGATGCAAGCCCCAAAGGTAATCCCTCACCCGGTCGAGGTACTCACAATCCCACCTTAAGAAAAGGCAGTCATGAGCAAATGTGTAGGATACCCCGGGCGGGCTGTCGGAACACAAAATTTCCTGGAGGGGCGCGTAATCCGAAACTGTTTTGCCATCCACCCACCCACCGCTTGACCTGAATAGCAAGATCAAGCATGGGATATAGTGGTGAAAGTTTCTTACTGCACGAGCATGTTTCAGACATGCTCTCATCCTGCTCCTCACACAAAGACCTATTATGCACAAGTGCATGTCGTCCCTTAAACCCTACACCCAAACCTAACTCTAATATATGGGCCGTGATACTATGATTATAAGGACCTTCCCCAAAAAAGCAATAGCGATTCCTTACGCCCGTATAACCCTATATTACCTAGACCCTCCATCTACCCTCTATTAAACCTTAAATGCCTATTATTTGGGACCACATACCCCTTTTTGAGGGCACAAGGAGGGTCCTGGCACAAACCCTAAACCCTCAAAGCTCGTGGGACCTCCCGGGAGGCGCCGGCAGCGTTCAGCGAGTCCTGCTCGCCATCGGATCTTTGAACCCCAGGTTTTGGAACTTTACCCTAAGGCCCTAAAGTAGTTCCTTTTTGGGTTCATACTTAGAATCCTATAAGGTACTCCCCAAAAGGAACTACTATGGGGCCTGTGGGTACCCATAGGCCCCAAAGTAATTCCTTTTTCGGAATACCTTGTAGGATTCTAAATATGAACCCCAAAAAGGAGATACTTTGGGGCCTATGGGTAGGGTTTGTTTACGTTCTCACACTCGGACTCCGCCAAACGAGCTTCATAGGTCGGCTTGGTGAAAGATTAGAGTGACTTCAACAGGGTTTGTTTAGGGTTTCGGTTTCGGCGCTCACGCTCGGACAATCCAGGCGAGGCATGCAGTTCGGAGTCTGATACGTGAGACTTCGCTAGGAGGAGCAGTCAGAATACAACCAACAATGAATCTGGGGTTTAGGGTTTATGCTTCAGCGCTTAGGTTTTTTTTTAAGCGCCTTTTTCCACCTAGCAGTTAAGGTCGGCGGAATCCTCATTGAGCAGCGCTTAGGTTTACGGTTTACGCTCTCACAATTCGGAGAAGCCGGGCGAGGTTCCATAGCTGCGGGTCGGCGTGAATACGGTTTCGGCGCTCACACTCGGACAAACCAGGCGAGGCATATGAGTTCGAGTCTGCAAAGTGAAACGACACTAAGAGGCTTCGTCACTACGTCGCAGCAACAAAGTATATCAACACTTAAAGTGACTGTACCGATCCGCGAAACCTCTCCTTGGAATCTCTCACTGTCGCAACACCCAGAACACCAGATTCCAAGGTGATGTGATCAGACAGATCGCTCAGGGTCGGGTTATAGGGGACTAACACCCTACAATAAGAGTTGCGAGAATAAGGAGCCGGGATGACTCAGGCGCTACGATCTGTGTTGGGGGATCAGATACTTCATGATCCCAAAGTCAGCATATTACCGACCTTGCAGGCACCTAATTCAAGTATAGACAAAAGTGAAACTGCGGAGTACGTGGAGTGACCTACATGATGTTCATTGCTGACCAAACGACCCAGGTGTGCTAGGAGGAGTAGATTTTGACCCATGGTATAATCTACCCATAGCATAGTCTAAAGACTTGATTATGATGAAAGTGTAGCATAATGATGTGGGTTTTGGCCCCGAACGAATTCTAACATGCACCCCTCAGTTGACTGAATTAAACTCACTGGAGTATTGAGACATGATTGAATGCAACGCAGAACATCACACTCAATCATATCCAAACACTTCATGGCAGAGTACTGTGTGCTTTCCAGCATAGATTGTATTTGCCAGAGCTGCCAGATCCGGCGCTAATGGCAAAGGCATGCATTGCTCAGGCAGCAGTTTGCCGCATATTCTCACCACAAATTCAAGAGCCTGTATTTCATTCTCCTTGCATTCATGCAGTAAAGGCCAGCCAACCAGCCCCCTCCACGGTCCCATATAGCATGTTTGACCAGACCACTTGCCACCATGCAATAAATTCCAGAAAAGGCAGCGGTCATTGGCAGGACGTGGAAGTGTGGCATGCAGGCTCAGACATCCATGGAGAAGGTCAGAAATCACATCATGCAGTAGCGATTTGTTCGCTTCTGGTCCTGGCTCAGTGCAATGAATTCCAGAAAAGGCCAGGAGAGCTGCATCCATAGCGAGAAGCCCCAAATGAGGCCCGTGATTGATCATCTCTCCGCCCACGTGTCATGAGCTGCGTGCAGATGTGCGTATTCAGGCTCGTGGTCGTATGGCAGCGGAGGCCATGCAAATGCAGTTGCAAATTCTGTGCGGTTTATCCTTCCATCATTCCAGGTCCATTCGGCAGGGTGCCATGTGCCCAGCGCTGGCGCGGGTTAGTGGTTTCTTAAGGTAAACCGGTCTAGCATATTAGGACTCCATAGGAAATATGAGCCCTAAGGATAAAGGTAAAAATAAGGCACTGAGAAGGAAGGGTCTAAAACATTCTAAAGTGAGGGGAGCTAAAATGGGAGTATAGGAGTAGTGGCATTGTGAAGTAGCAGCACATAAAGTACAGCACAATATGAAAGTTCGTAACAAATGAGACCCCAACTGACCTACAGAAGAGCCCCACACAGACCAGGCCCTCCGTGGAGTGTATTTTACACACACTCCTGCTGCATATTAGGCGTGGTTTATGCCCCTGCAACGGCATCCATGGGCCAGGGCAGCGTGGCTTGGGAGTCTGGGTCAGGTGTGTAGGAGTCTACTTGGGTGGGTCGGGATCGTTTAACAGTATCTGAGCTATCTGCATGGAGTACAGGGGGAGGCTCAGTGGGTTCAGGGTGAGTGGCTACGGTTTAGGGTTTATCGGTTAAGGGTTTATGGCTATGGGTTTAGGATATTGAACCAAGGCTCTTATTTGTCAAAGCCCTACCCAGAAGTAGTGAGGGACACGGAGCACCAGAAGGCCCGGGCCCAAACCCTAAAGTCAAAATCCTGCACCCTTTTGCAACAGGCTTTCCACTTCGCTCGGAAGAACCAACAGCAAAGACACGAGAAAGCCAAGCCCCAAATTCTACACGGTAGTAGGTACTGGCCACTTCACTTTAGGATATAGCGCAAATGGGAGTTGAAGATCAGGTACCACACACTCTTCTCCCCTAGGCAGTCGGATCCGTGCTATACAAAGCCCTAAAACATGCACTCCTGCACAAAAGAAGCATGGTAACTGGTTGTTCAAAAGTTCTGAAAGAGCCTTAGGGGCCGAAAACCCGAGCCTCAAAAAGATTACCGCTGTAGTTTAAGGTAGGATGATATAGACACCGGAAGATTCATACTATATACTACAAAACTCTACTATACTATATCATCTCTCTCTCTGCCGTGCCATCATCAAGTGTCTCGCAATTACATTGCTCCACTGGAGTATACCCCTAGAGTGGCTTACCTGCTCAGAACCTGAGGAGCTCGGTTCTCCTCGGAGAGGGCAGGTCCAGAGCCGTGGTCGACTAAACGAGACAGGCCAGACCTCCCGAAGGGAGGTGTTGGGCTTTGGAGTTTCGGGTTACTTTAACGGGTGCTAGATTTTGGGGCTTGGAGTTTCGGGTTAATTGCTATGGGTGCTACAACTGTTGGTTCCTAGGAGCCGAAGCTCTCGTGCCGCACGCCGTATGGTCTCTTCGGCCTCCTACTTCGCAAGGATGGGCCCGCATGGGGTTCTTACTGCCTCCCACTTAGCTCGGGCGAGCCTACATGGAGGGTTCCAATACACAATACATATGTATGTATGTATGCATGTATGTGTATATATATATATATATATATATATTGTATACTACAGGGTTTCGGAACGAGGCCACAACAAGGTTTGTGGTCATTGCCGGCGACCCCAGTGCCGAAGGATAGATCGGGTAGCTGCAGCCATTGGGAAACGGGCGCAGCCGACCTCGCCTGCGTGGCACAGGCGACAAAGGGCTGCACGTTCGCGGGCCCGACTTTCCATCCGAAAGGCACGATTGCAGTGCCAGGGCCCTTCACGACGGGCCATTGCACTCCTACGAGCCCACCACAGCCAACCCCTCTACAGAGAGGACCCTATGGGCCGCGGCCAGGACCAATGGGGAGCTTGGAGTGGCCAGCAAACCGAGTACGATGGGTGGTACTCGCAGCCGTGGCGTGGCAAGGG